TCTCCTGTCCCCCAACATAACTACAGTTGACCCTTGAACAACTGTAGAGGCGCCGTTCCCCACGCAGTTGAAAGTCTGGATATAACTTTTAACTCCCCCAAAACTTAAGTCGTCTCCCAGTATCTGCTGGTTCCAGGACCCCTGCAGATACCAAAAATCCAAGGATGCTCAAGGCCCTTATATAAAATGGCATAGAACAATGCTTACTGTCAGCCCTCCACATCCACGGATTCTGAAATACAGATCGAAAATACTGTTTTTAATTTGCAGTTGATTGAACCTACAGATGCAAAACATGGAGATAGGTGGGCTGACTCTTTATTTATAGAAAAAAATCCATGCGTAAGTGGATCCATGCAGTTCAAACCTGTATAGTTCAGGGGTAAACTGTAGTCTCATCTTCCGCACAAAACACTATTACAAAAACACAATGATTTTTCACAGACCTTTTCTGAAGATGGAAGATTACTAGTGGTCCTGACATTATTTAACCTTACAGTAATGCATTAAAAATGAATCTTCATATTAACAAAAAGTGGGAAAAGGATATGCTATAGAGAAAGAAGAGGTGTAGGGGAGAGAAATGTAGGAGGAGAATTGAGTCTGTCTATATAAAGGTTGCAAGCTCAGCCGCCTGCAAGGGTAAAGCAGAAAATGCAAATGCTATAGCACCCTGGGGGTGAGAAAAACAAAGCTCTTGGTATTTCTTCCTTTTCCACTTTTGAATAAACATGTGGGTAGGGACAAAAATGCTAGAGGAAAAAAAGAGTTGTTCTAGCTAAATGATAAATGCCAATTGACATTTTCCCTCAGTGTTAGGGAGGCCACCAGACACTGAGTGGACTCTGGTGACTTGAGAGGGGCAGCTAGCATCCAGCTCCATCGACTGCTACCAGCTATGAATGTGGACCCCACGATGCTGAGACGGGACATCGCTTGTAAAATTCTTAATTTTTTATCAGGAAAAGGAAATGAGACATCTCTTGCAGAGTTAATCTTTTTAGTAAAAAGCTCCATGAAACCCCCATAGGCAGGGACTACGGCCATTCTCAGCAGG